CCCTTCCTCCCAAAGGAGGGGGAGATGCCAATTTTGGCAGAAATTCTCAGAGGGGCTGGGGAGCTGGTGGTTGGAGAGCAGCTCAGCAGTGCTAATCACAGATTCCCATTAATTCCATAATGGGAGGATTCCCCAGCAGTGGAGCAGCAAAGGCTCTGCAATCCCTGTGAATTTTTCCCAGGAAGGCTGGGAAAATCAACCAACAAACTCCAAGTGTGCCAGGAGAGGCAGCTCAGCTGCAGCCAGCCCTTCCTGCTCCTCTCATCCCTGAATCTGAACCCACCACAGAGAAACGTCTGCGTGTGACAGCATTGGTGGCATCCTTTCATCACGGTGAGAAGGGGAAATGCTGCAGAATGAGCTCTGTCCTCCGTCATGTGATGGGGTGTGAGGGCTCGGGAATATCCCTGGAATATCCCTGGAATATCCCTGGAATGTCCCTGGAATATCCCTGGAATATCCCTGGAATGTCCCTGGAATATCCCTGGAATATCCCTGGAATGTCCCTGGAATGTCCCTGGAATATCCCTGGAATGTCCCTGGAATATCCCTGGAATATCCCTGGAATATCCCTGGAATGTCCCTGGAATGTCCCTGGAATGTCCCTGGACAGGCAGGGCAGGGATCAGGCCATGATTTACCCCAGGAGGGCAAGAGAGAAGCTCCAGGTTCCCAGGGAGAACGAGAAACACAGAGGCCCAGAGAAATAATAAGAATGAAATATTTCCTGCCTTGGAAAGCTGCTTGTCACCTACCTGAGGAAAGGAGGAGAATAAAGATAAATCTGCTACAAAAGGAAAATCCCAGGCCTGGAGGAGAGCTGGCATTTTCCCAGGACAAAGCAGGAGGAGCAGCTCACAGAAAGGCACAAGAAACTGTCTGCTAAAAAGTGTCTCTAGCTTAAAGCCATGTTCCTTAGTGCCTCTTATTATTACTCCTTAAATACTCCCATTTTACTCTGGAGCTGAAGAGCATCCAGCTTTCCCTCCAGGAGGAGGAGAAGGATTCCCCAATCCTCGCTCCCCACACATTCTCTGGGCATGTTTCTGATTATTGTCCCAGCATTGCTAAATGAGAATATTTAATAAAATTAACTAAAATTGCTCCCCACTCTTGTCTTTGAGAAAGTCCACAGGTCCCTGCAGCCTGTGGCTTCCTCTGGCAGCGTTTTTCATCTCTCCTGCAGGCAATCACTCATCTCCTCGGTCCGATTATGGCTCTCATTATTATCCATCCTCTCCTATTTCAGCAGTAATATCCCATCTGTGCAGTGGCAACTGCTCCATTCCCTCCTTCCCTGCATTTCCCCACTGCAAATCCGGATCATGGATGTGCTGTGGATCTGCTTGGATTTAAACAGCCTCGAAATCCTGCCCAGCCCCTCCACTTCTCCCTTCCTGCCCTCGTCAACTTTGAGATTCACTCTTTCATTTCCTTTATGGAGTTTATTTCCTTTATTCCTCTCCTGGGGCTCCCAGCATTTCCCTCTGCATTGCCTGGATTTGAGGGTCACTTCTTTCCTTTCTTTGCTGAAGATTTATCCCTAATCCCTTTCTGGGATGGATTTGTTACCCCAAGACCCAGCTCTAAAAGGTTTTGGCACTTTGGGGTCAAACAAATTGGGGATTTATCCACATCCAGCTCCCTGATTTCTGCCAAATTTCCCAAAAAACCCTCGTAATTCCTCAGTTTGTCCCTCTGAAATTGTCCAATCTGAAATTGCCAACCTGCCTGAGGCTCTGGGCTCTTTGGCAGTGTTATAGATACAGTTTATATTGTTGGCTTTTCCCAAATATTAAAATGAATGTTATGTGTATAAGAATGGAAATATTTGTTGTATTAATATAATTTTCTTTATTTCTGTTATTGATGAAATTTAGAAATAGTGGTATAATACATATATGTTAGGTTATGGCATAGCATTAAAATAAAAACTGCTTTTGTTTGTATAACCCAAAGACTGACAAAGAGCTGGAGATCTTTTTTCCTTTTGTAAACTCTCTGATCCAGATGAAGCCAGCAGTGCCCAGAACTCTGGGGGAGGAATTTATTGCATTTCTGGGATCAGGGAATGTAAATCTCGATGGCACCAAGAGCATTGATCTATTGGGAAGGGGGCAAGAGAAAACTGAACAGAAGAACCCCAAAGATCCACAGAAGAATGTCTGAATATGTGTGAGAATTTCTGGATATGGAGCAGGGTTCTGTTTTTAAGGGACAATCCTTTGTCACTGAGGTGAATGCACAGACACACGGCCAGATCTGGGTACTTTATTTTATTTTTTTCTCCTAATTGTTTTTTTATTAAACTATTAAATTCAATAAAAATTTTGTGAACCTCGTTTTTCACAGCAGCATCTCCCCCCCTGCTTTTTTTAATCCCTTCAGACTCGGTGGCTGAACCTGAGCTGACCTGTGAGTGCTCAGTTCAGGGCTCTTGCTCACAAAAGAAGAGAATTCTCTCCAATTCTGTCCCCCTGCTTACCCAAACACTGCAAATATCATTATCTGCTATTGATCAGCTGCCTGCCAGCTAAAGGAACCGTTTGGCTGCTCTGCTCTCAAGTGCTATTGACTCACCATTATTGCTGCAACTTTTTTGGGCTGATTTATCCACGGCAAGATCAAGTCTCTGCCGCTGATTTGATTCTCATTTATCCCCGTGAGGGGCATAAATGGATATATTTCCACCCTCCATCCCCTCCCTGAGGACCAGAAGCAGCATCCTCTGATATTTCACTGTTTTATCCACTTTTCCTGCTTTTTTTTTAACCTTGTCACTTCACCCCCAGCCCCTTTTCTTCAATCAGTGCTGTTTGTTATTATGGTTTGATTTTCTTGTCCCTGGACCATGAAATCAGGGTAATACAATACCAACCAGAAATATCACAAGAGGGGATGTTAAAGTATGAAATGCTTAATGCTGCCTCAGTATTTTAAAAAATAATATTCTGACTGGAGGGAGCAGAGGCTGCTGGCAATGCTCCTTTGAATTAATGCTGCTTAAATATGCCAAATTTCCCTTTGATCTTATTAATTCCAATCACAAACCAAGCGCAGCTTTCAATCTGAGAGGGGCTTTTATTTTTTTTCTCCTCCTGAAAAAGATCAAAATATATCTTGTGTCCAGCAATTAAACAGTTTGTTTCTGAACTCCACCAAGTTTAATATTCCACTTGAAACGCAAGGGTAGGAAGCCAATTAATAAGAAGTGTATTAACCGTGATTTATGCTGAGCTTAAACACTTGGCAGTGAGGCTTTAATGGGATTTTGACTTATTTAATGGGTTGGGAGAAGTGGGAAGGCAGGGAGGAGGTGACTTGGGGTCTGGAGCTTCCTCCAGTCTGTAGGACTCGCTTCCAAAATTTAAAATATGAAGGCAGAGCCCGGCAGTGCAGCTGTCCTGGTGTGCTATTTCCATGTGCTTTAATCCTGGACCTCCTTTGCTCCAGGCTGAGCTTTCCCAGCTCCCTCAGGGATTCTCCAGCCCTTTCCCAGCTCCCTCAGGGATTCTCCAGCCCTTTCCCAGCTCCCTCAGCAATTCTCCAGCCCCTTCCCAGCTCCCTCAGCAATTCTCCAGCCCCTTCCCAGCTCTGTTCCCTGCCCTGGACACGCTCCAGCCCCTCCAGGTCTCTCCCAGCACGGGCCAAGGATATGAGGTGAAACCCAGCCTGCCTGGTTCCTGTCCCTCATCCCTGCCCTCCCTCAGCCGCCCCCCATCCCCTCTCCATGCTGGAATCTTCTCCAATAGTTCAATCCCCATCCCAACAGGAGCTCCTCCACAGCCAGCCCAGCTCTGGATCCATCCCCTGCCCTGCCCCAACCACACACGTTTATTCTTCACAAAGAAGAATAAATTCACATTTCTTCACACAAAGTGCAGCCAGAACTGGGATGTGCTGTGTTTGGGTGTCTCCTCTGCTTTGACAGCGTTCCCATAAAGCTGAAGAGCTCCTCTCGTGCTGTGATGGGGCTGAAAATCCGCGTTATCCCAACAATGGGATTGTTTATGCAATTTGTTAGTGGTGTTTTAAAAACCCAGATGTTCAGGCAGCTCTGGAGGAGCACCAGGATGCTGGAACATTGATGCATGTCATAAACCACAATATTTTATTTAACTCTGAGTAAAACTCAGCTGGCAAAGATACTTTATGGATCCCTATTAATGGGAATGGGAGCCATGGATCATCCCTAAGGCAGGGAACAAATTGTGTGGGCCGGCTGCTTCAGGAGGAATCGCCCAGAGCTGCGTTTGCCATCCAACACAACAGCTTCATCTGGGGGAGAGGTTCTTCCCGTGCTCTGCTTCTGCTGAATGCCTGATCCACTGAGAAATATAATCATTTCTGCTGGAAAAATCATGGAATGACAGAATGGTTCCTGTTGGAAGGGACCATAAATCCCATCCCATTGCAGCCCCTATCCCATTCCACCTCCCAGTGTCCCAGGCTGCTCCAGCCCCAATGTCCAGCCTGGCCTTGGGCACTGCCAGGGATCCAGGGGCAGTCACAGCTGCTCTGGCAATTCCAGCCCAGCCAGCAATTCCCAATTCCCAATCTCCCATCCATCCCTGCCTTCTGGCACTGGGAGCCATTCCCTGGCTCCTGTCCCTCCAGCCCTTGGGAACAGTCCCTCTCCAGCTCTCTTAAAATGTCCAGGCTGGACATTGGGGCTGGAGCAGCCTGGGACAGTGGGAGGTGTCCCTGACATGGCAGGGCTGGGCTGGGCTGGGCTGGGCTGGGCTGGGCTGGGCTGGGAGAGGGGCTGGGGCAGGTTTGGTGGGACATTCCCGTGGGCCCAGGCCAGCACAGCCGTGCCCTGCTGGTGCCAGGGACAGCCGCCACTCCCTGCCCTCATGGCTGTCAGTAACAGTCCACAGGGTGTGAACAAACAGAAACCACCCCCGTTTGTAAACGGGGAGCCCTGGGACCTATCTGACCAGGCAGCCTCCCCGCTGTGCCCAGTGGGAGCACGGGACAGATCCTTCTGGAATTCTGTCATGGTGCACATTGTCACAGGACAGCTCTCCCGTGGGGGCCTGTGCTGGCAGGTGAGAGATGAGCCACTTGGTCACGTCTTGACTTTTGCCACAGTTGCACACAGCGTCCTTGGCCCCAGGCTGGAGAGACAGGAGTCAGGGAGGTGACTCTGGACAGCCACGTCCAGGGCACTGCCAGGGCGCAGTGTCCAATTGTGCCCAGTGAGCCGTGGTGGCCCTCGGGGCAGCATGACACCTCGGCTCATCAGTGCTTTTGTTAATGACCAAGCGGTCCCTTAGCAGCTCTGCAGAGACCTTTGAGCCCCGGCTGTAGGGCTGCTCTCCCAGGGCCTCGGGTGGGGGGTCATGGAAAGCACCTGAGGTTCGCTGAGGTGCCAGGGGTACCCCCGGTGCCAGATGAGACTGAAGGTCCGTGTGTTCACAGGGACTTGACTGAGAACCCCATGACAGCTCTCCCCAATGGTTCCTTCCTGGGCTTCATCCAGCTGCAGAGCCTGTGAGTGCTGGGGGCAGGAGGGGCTGGGGGTCACCGCGGTGCCCGTGCTGAGCTCTGTCCCCAGCGCGGTGCCGCTGACCCTGGAGTGTCCAGGCGGGAGTGACGCCTGGCAGGACGTGACAGCGGATGGGAGCAGCCGGCTGTGCCAGGGACAGAGGAACCCCTGCAACAGCTCTGTGGAACTCGGTATGGTGGGGGACTGACCCTGGCGGTGTGTGCATGGGGCTGGCAGTGGGGTCTGGCCTCGGCCCCTGACCCCCTGCTCTGCTCTGCCAGCCTGGCCATGCCCTGAAAACTCTGTATGTGCCCCTGACGGACCCGGCTTCAGCCAGTGCCTCTGTGACAATCCCTTCCACGGCTACAAGTGCCTGCGTGAGGTGAGTTCCCGTGGGACTGAACCTTCTCTGGCTGTGCCCCAGCCAGGTCAGCAGGGGCTGCAGGGAGTGCTGATGCTCACTCCTGCTCCCCGACAGGGAACATTCCCGATGCTTCTCTTTGGAGGAATCCTGGGCACTGCCACTGTGTCCCTGTCCCTGCTGCTGTGGGGCACCCAGCGGAGGAAGGCCAAGACCCCCTGAGCAGGGCAGGGGGCCGTGCCTGGGCTGTAAGCTCTGAGGCCTGGGAGGCTCTCGGGATCAATAAAGCTGCAGATCCTCGCCGTGTGTCCGTCTGCTTCCTTCCCGGGGAAGGGAGGGCACGCACGGGAAGGGGCCAGGCCGGTTCCCACACTCCCCACGCTGGGGCCGAGCAGCAGGAACGTCCGCACCGGGACCTGCCCGCCCTCCGTCACCTCCCCAGCCCCGGGGAGCAGCGCCCGAGCCCCGGCTGCTGGGAACGGCTTCTTGGGCAACCCCCGAGAGCAACCGAAACAGCAAAGGAACACATCCAACCTGTTCTTCAACCGATAAACCAGGGGAGAGCGCGAACGCAGTCCCCCACTACCACAAATTATGCAGTCGAGTTTCCCGCATTTGGGGAAATCGCAGGGGTCAGCACACCCGGAGTGCAAGGGATGAGCCTCGCCCTGGGAAAACCACCTGCCTGATCATGGTGTCTCCCCTGCCAGGTAAGTATGCCCGAGCCCGCCCAGCGCCCAAACGCCCTGCCCGCCCCACGCCTCCCCAACACACGCCCAGCCCGAGCCCGGCCCCGCACCCAACCGGCCCCGCGCTGNAAAACCGCTGGGATATTCACACATTACTTTTATCTCGTTAACACTTGGGATGGGATGGGATGGGATGGGATGGGATGGGATGGGATGGGATTTAAGGTCCCTTCCCACTCTAACCATTCTGGCATTCTGTGACCCTCGAGCTGACCCCAGCAGTGACACCACCTGCATCCCCAGCAGTGGCTGTGAGGGATGTGCAGGACGTCCCCTGGAGATGGGAAGGACGAGGACTCTCTTTGCCACCTTTTCCTGGCAGCAGAAAAAGAGGGAAGGGGAATGGAAAGCATTGAATTGAGCAGCTCATTTGGCACACAGGGACTCAGGAGAGTGCAGGGCGAGGAGGGGACACAGGGACAGCCTGGGGACACCCTGGCTGCTGTGGAACAGGAGCAGCTGGGATGAAGGTGCTGCCCCTTCCAGGTTCCCTTTTCCTGACAGGTTTCCCTGGAGCGTGGAGCATTCCTTTTGGGACAGCCAGCCCTTCCTTCCCCGAGTGTCCCTAATGGACACTTTATTTTGGGAATCCCTAATGGATTCCTTCAGCTCCTGTTCCGGGAGGCTTTGGAGTCCGAGCTCAGAGCAAAGCCCCGCTGCTCTGACAGGGATTTGTTCCTTCCAGCTGGCCATTTTTGCATGACTTGAGAGCACCAGGAGATTACAGAATGTCCTTTCCTCTTCGGGGTTTTTAATTAACATTTCTATTATCGAGCTTAATTAGCACAGCTCTGGCTTCCATCTGCTTTTCCCTGCTGCAGACGCTTTGCTCCGACATCCTGCAGCCCATCACGAGGGATAATAAATGAGCAGTGCCGCTGTCACAGGCCCATCTGGAGGCACAGGGCCTGGGGGAGCAGGGACAGGCACTCGGGTTTGCTCCTGGTGTCACCAGGGCTGTTCCTGCCGCGGTGGCCGCAGGAGCTGCAGGTGCTGGGAGCGCTGGTCTGGCCGAGCTGAGCTGTGTCCTTGTGTGGCTCCCTGGGGATGAGCAGGACCCGGTGCCAGGGCCCTGGGCTGCAGCACCAGTGAGGCTGGGCAGGGATGGGCAGGACAGAGCAGCTGAGTGCAGCGACCTTGCAGTGTCCTGGCACAGATGGAAGTGCCAGCTCAGCTTCTCTGAGCAGAGCAGCTTCTGACTGAAGCCATCACCTTCCTGCTCCTCTCCCCTTTCTCCTCTCCCCTTTCACCTCCCAGCAGCCCAAGAGTTCCACAAATGCCCCAGACACCTCCCTGCCTCCCTCAGCATCCTCTGTCCTGTGCAGCTCCCAGCCTTGCCCTGCCCTGGTTCTGTCCAGAGCAGCTCCCAAGGGTCCCTGGCCCTCCACAGCCCCTGCTGGGAGCTCCTGCTGTCCCCAGGAAAGCAGGGTCTGAATGCCAGAGCCCTGGAATCCAGAGTGGTTTGGGTGGGAATGGACCTAAAAATGACCCAGTGCCACCCCAGCCATGGCAGGGACAGCTCCCACTGTCCCAATGTCCAGCCCCAGTGTCCAGCCTGGCCTTGGGCACTGCCAGGGATCCAGGGGCAGCCACAGCTGCTCTGGCAATTCCAGCCCAGCCAGCAATTCCCAATTCCCAATCTCCCATCCATCCCTGCCCTCTGGCACTGGGAGCCATTCCCTGGCTCCTGTCCCTCCATCCCTTGTCCCCAGTCCCTCTCCAGCTCTCCTGGAGCCCCTTCAGGCCCTGCAAGGGGCTCTGAGCTCTCCCTGGATCCTTCTCCTCTCCAGGGGAGCATTCCCAGCTCTCCCAGCCCTGGAGCAGCTCCGTGGCTCCTCTGGGCTCTCTCCAGGTCCTGCTGTGTCCCAGCTCTGCAGGTGGGGTCTCACCTGAGGTTCCCGTCCCTGCTGCCCCCGCTGAGGGCTCAGCCCCGAATTTGGGGTTTCTGGGCTGTCAGAGCACACGACCAGAGCACATCCAACTTTTCATCCAGCAGATCCTCAGGCAAGGCTCCACCCTGGAGGAGACTTGAGCCAAACACAAAGAGAATTCCCAGAATCACCAGGTTGGGAGAGACCTCCGAGATCATCGAGTCCCTCCCAGCCCTGACACCTCAAGCAGCCCCTGGCACCGAGTGCCACATCCAGGCTTTTCCTAAACACATCCAGGGATGGTGACTCCAGCACCTCCCCGGGCAGAGCATTCCAGCACCTCATCACCCTTTCTGGAAATCCTTTTCCCAACCTCCAGCCTGTATTTCCCTTGGTGCAGCTCGAGGCTGTGTGCTCTGGCTCTGTCAGTGGTGACCCCACAAGCTCCTTCAGGGGTGGTAAGGGCACCTCTGAGTGTCCTTCTCTCCAGGCTGAACAGCCCCAGCTCCCTCAGCTGGAGCAGGGAGCGAGACTGGGAAGCCCAGCAGGAACATCCCAGGGCCTCCCTGGAGGCACCAAACCCCTCAGCTCTGATTTCCCAGCGCTGCTGAGAGGGGCTGAGCGCTCTGGCCGGACCCAGGGAGAGCAGCCAGGCACCCCTGGCTGGGGAGATGGATGGGATTGGCTGGATAAATCCCTCAGATCTGTGTGAGGCAGCTGGGTTTTGGTGCTGATTTATTGCAGCGGGGCTCGGAGTTGCCCGAGAGCCCCAGGAATTAGCGGGGATTGCAGGGAGCCCCTGGAATTTATCTGGGAGCTGGGTTAAAGCAGGGAGGAGAGATGTGCTGGGTCAGCAGGCCCTGTGTCATCCCAGCCCTGTCCAAGATGGAGATCAGAACTTTCCTGGGCTGCTTGGAAAGGAGCTCAGCTGAAACCTGCCTCAGTGACACCAGAGAGGCACCGGGAACGTGTGGCAGGGAGACACCTGGGTCCTGTCCTGGGTGATTGCAGGGAATTAATTAATGCCTGGTGCCAGGGCTGGGATCCCTGGTGCCACCCTCAGCCCAAGCTCACCCTGAGCCTCCCAGGAGCACACAGGGTGTTGTTTTTGTGGGGAAAACACTGAAATCCCAGCCCCGAAGGAACAGCGGTAACACAAACCTTGCGGCTTCCTGCAATTAATTCTCACAGAGCTTTGTGAAAAGATTGATTTTATTAATTCCCAGGGGTGGCCGATCTGTCAGAACCCTGCAGAGATGTAGGACTTCAGTAGCCACAGTGCCTGCTGCTGCTGAAAGCTGCCTGCAGTGGGAGGACACGTTCCCTTCAGCACCTTCCCTCCTGACCTGGCCAAAACCAACCACCAGGAAAGGCCCCAGCATTCCCAGCAGAGGGGACAGGGCTGGGAATGTGTCCCTTGGGAAGGGAAGGAGGGTAAATATAGATGGGAGATTGGGAATTGGGAATTGCTGGCTGGGCTGGAATTGCCAGAGCAGCTGTGGCTGCCCCTGGATCCCTGGCAGTGCCCAAGGCCAGGCTGGACATTGGGGCTGGACATTGGGACAGCATTGGGGCTGGACATTGGGACAGTGGGAGCTGTCCCTGCCATGGCTGGGGGGGCACTGGGGGGGATTTGAGGTTCGTTTCACCCAAACCATCCCAGGATTCTGTGATTTTCTGATTTTCTGAAAGGATGGTGAGTTCTGGAGAGAGCTAAGGACCAATCTGAGCCTCGCTCCAGGTGCCTACAGAAGTGTGGGATCTCCAACACGCTGGAGTGCTTCCATCTGGGACACAAATGTCTGAGATCTGCTGGCTGAGGCTGGAAAAAGACGAGTTCAGACCAGGAGCAGGAGAAATCACTGCAGGAATTCACCCACCAAAACCAGCTGAGCACGAGGCAACACAAATCCTCCAGAGGTTCTCACTTCAATCCCTTAAATCCATCAGGTGCTTGGATCTGCATTCCCAGAGATGGAGAGGGCACAGCCCAGCTGTGGCAGATCCCCTGGGATGAGGGTGGGATTCCATCTGCATTCCCAGAGATGGAGAGGGCACAGCCCAGCTGTGGCAGATCCCCTGGGATGAGGGTGGGATTCCCTGCAGGCCAGCCAGGGCAGATGTGCTGGGATCCCATTCCTGCCGGGATTCCCTGCCTCCAGCCCAGAGCTGAAAGCCCTGTTCCCAGCTGGACTCTGCAGATGTGGACACTGCAGATGTGGACTCTGCAGATGTGGGCACTGCAGATGTGGGCACTGCAGATGAGGACTCTGCAGATGTGGGCACTGCAGATGAGGACTCTGCAGATGTGGACTCTGCAGATGTGGGCACTGCAGATGAGGACTCTGCAGATGTGGGCACTGCAGATGTGGGCACTGCAGATGTGGACTCTGCAGATGAGGACTCTGCAGATGTGGGCACCAGAGGAGC